GAATGTAGCTTTAATTCAAATGATCTCATAATTACAACTATTTATAATTCCTTTGTAAACTTATTTATTCCAAGAACTTTATCATTAAGCATATATAATAAAATAGATGAAAGGTTATAGATAAATCAAGATTTTTTATTAGATATAAAATTTACAATATAACATGAGTATTTTGGATAAATCCAATTGACCTTTAGACCACACTCCAACAATTTTGTGTTCTTTTAATTCTAAGGTAGTAATTTATTAGTAACAAAAGGCTCAAGTTGAACTAGTTTAATGAACGAAAAGATATATAAATTTGAGTTTGGAAAATAAAATATATCTAATACACATTTCAGCATTCACCTAATAGTACTTCAGCTAAATCTCTAGAATAAGAAACAAAAACGTGATTACATCATTTAATTAAGTGCAATACTTTAGTACATGTATCATCCATTGAGTTTTATATATGTAAGGACAAAATTTTGGATCAAGTTATAACTTAAGCTCAGTTGCTTTTTGTGTGATAATTAATAATATGGGACTACCGACGTCAAAAATTGCATCTACTGAATATTTATTTAGTTTTGTTAGAAGGAGAGAGAATCAATGTTTAAACTCAAACTTTTATACAGTGGAAAATCTGGGTGTAGTGTGGTGAGAGACTCTCCATCATACTCCACCACCCTCACAAATGGATCCTAAGTTAAAACCCTAATCCGACATTAGGCATCCATTACCGCTACAGAAAATTGGGTTTTTTTAGAGTACTTCTTAGCGGCATTAAATGCTACCAAGTTTCAAGTTTTGTAAACATTAGCGGCATTTTTATCTTAAATGCCGTTATAATTAACCGTGGTGGTAATTTTAGGAAAAATGTTATATAATTAAAAAATAGCTGCTAAATTTTGTAACATGCGAATAGGTTGTGTTTTTTTTTTTAAATGTTATTGTCTTTTTAATGGCATTTATAAATAAAAAATTATTATCTTTTTAGTAACATTTATAAATGTCACTATTTATAAAAAAAAAAAGAAATTAAAAATCTTATTTCTTGTAAAATATGTTTCCTTTTAATTATTGAACCAATAAAACATACATCTACTTTTGTTTTTGCACGGTATATGTTATTTTCACGAATAAAATTTTTTAAATAAATTTGTCTTTTTTTGTTCATACAACAAATAAATTTAAATGGTATATGTACAATATACTAATATTATAGTTTTGATGTTTGAAAAATAGAAATGCTTGTCGTATACGAATCAAAATGGAACTAGGGTTGATTATATCCTTCACAATGCTTTTGTTTTTCTATAGAAAGACTAAAGATTTGATGAATTTAACTTTTGTTACTCCCTTTTTTAAGGGTGGTGGGGGGTCTTTGGGATTGGACATCTCACCAAAACCATTCCTTTTTATTAAGTTGTAAAACTAATTTGTGGAATTCAAGATTTAAATTATTTTTTTATGCAATCACTCATAAAATGTGACATTAAATAATTTTAAATTTTAAATTTAGTACATGTAATTTCTTTCTCTATTTATAGACTATGTTTTAAAAAAAAAAAAAATTGTGGCATTTTCTATTCCTTCAAGTGGCCAATAAACCTTGAGAAGATGGGGGTATATGTTTTTTTGGCTACGGAATATGGATACTTGCAAAAATGAGCAAAGGATACGAGAAATAGTCAAAACCTAACCATCTTGAATCTTGATAACCAAATTGAGGTGCGATTTACAATTAATATTAATAGCCAACACGTTTCATTAAACATAAGCGAGGATCAATTAAAAAAACCTTGAAAAAGAGAGTATCGACTTCACCACATTAATTAATTCAAACATTGCAATTAGGATAATTTTTTTTAAAGTTAGAGTCTCAAATAAATAAATTTGGGTCTTTGTATCTTATAGCTCTTAGTAATCTTATTTTCAACATGCACATTTGAAGTTTAAACTTCTTCCCTTCTTCCTCACAAAAAATACGTAATTATATATAATTTTTTTATTGATGTATTAGGTACTTATTATTATTATATATGATTTAATTTAATTTAAAATAAGAGCACTATTAATTTAATCTAAATTTATTGTTTAATTCTTTTCACTTTTATATTTAAAGTTGCAATGAATTGAATCTAATCAACGAAAATAAAAGTTCAACACTATATAATAGAGCACATCATTATCGACTATTGTTTAAATATTTTCTATTTAGACACAACAAACCTAACTTATAACTTAATGAATCAAATGTGAAAAACAATTATTTTTAATCTATTTAAATACAATATCGAACAATAAATGTTATCCATTTAATTAGCATTTTCCTTAAAATACCATTTAATATTGTTTTTTTATTACTAAGTCACTTTTAAAATTTGCTATTCCACGAATCTCTTTGAAGTGCTTCTGAAGTGGAAATCAAGCTAACCCATTTAGAGACCTCATTTCCACGTGATGTGAAACTTTGAGGTGAAATACTCAAAGTACACACAATTAATCAAGTTTTCAACGTTAATTTCCAGAAGTAAATTGATTTTGATTTTGGTTTTTTATCTTTGCCAATCTTCCTTGAAATTAATCTGCAACTTGTCCACATAGGAATTTAATTTATTTTGTTTTGCTTTTGTTTCCACATGGGTATCAATGGCAGCAATTAGATGAACTTGGAATTCCATAACCGAGCAATTAATTCATCAGTCCAATAAGTGGTGGATCTAAAATTTCTTTTGAATAGTTCACTTATAGTATATATAAAAAATTGCTGATGAATTTATCAATTTTATCAAAAGAAAATGGTGTTCAGTGAAAATTTTTGAGAGGGCACAAAAAATTTTTTTTCTTCAAATTCTCTTGTTTTTTAATCTTTAGAGTGTCTATTATAAATACTCTACCATTCCATTTGGATTTGCCTCTTGAGTCCAATCCAAAACAACCAAATATATTTGGTGTTGAGTTTTACGATTAAGATTACAGATTTTATTAATTAAACATGTACATGAAATTAGCATAATAACGTCATTGAAATAGAAATTAATAGTAATAACAATAATTAAGAGAAATAAAGGAATTACGATGAGCTGCAAATCTCACTGTAATAAGGGGCACCCTTCTTGCCATAAACAGTACTTCCTAACTTTTAATTTTAAACCTAAATAGAATGTAACAACCTTTGTTCGCATTTAGAAAATGGATGGATACCGTTTCTTGAATAAGTATATTACGGCCTTGTTTACAAGTAGAACACAAAAAAAGGGCAGGTAGAGTCAACCAAATTGGCAAGTGTATAAATTTGTCATATTTACCAACAAATGGTTAGTTTAATCAGTTAAGTTCATACTTTTCGATGAAGAGGTTTTGGGTTCGAATCTTGCCAGTAATTACTTGTTAGGGTCATATCCAATGTACGACTTGCAATCATTATTTTAAGTTGTCAGGTACGATACATCTTATCTTGATTTGAGGGGTTGAGCAATCTATCTATTCTGAATTTTTTCTTACTAAAAAAAATAAAAAATAAATTTGTTACGTTTTAATGAGTTCCTCAATTTATCAATATGAACAATCCAAAATCTTTTGAAACTTTTAAAAAATTGTAAGGTTTTATTGTAGGATTAGTTTTTTATAGTCAGTCCACAAATAAGATTAGGTTATTATCACATATTTTATTTATTTTTTGAAATGAAATAGGTTGCAGTATTAAAATAATAAAAAATTATAAAATATTAAAATTTAAATATCAAATTTAGTGTATGTCATCTTAGATTTATTGGGATTTATAAATGTTAAAATATCACTTTTTAAAAATAATTATGTAAATCAACTTAATTAAAATTTGAATTTTTATTTTATTTTTGTTTAAATATAATTTAATAATCAGAAATGTAATAATTGTTTAATTTTATTAGTAGATTTAATTGAAACCTTTACTATTGAATAATTTTCCTTTATTATACATGCAAAATAAGCCACTAAAATGAATTGACAAACAAGGACGGGATTGGTTTGAGTGTTGTGAATGAAAACAAATAATATAGATATAGAATATCAAAGAATGGAATATTTGAAGAGGCAATGGGAAAGGGTTTTAGTCTAAGTAGTATTTATATATTTATCTAGTAAGGCTTTATAAATAGAAGTAGAAAGGGTAGGCAGTAGGGAGTAGCCCCTTCGTATCGTGTAAGAGCACCAAAATGAAGTGGGCAGGGGGGGGGGGGGGGGAGGGGCAGCCTTTGTCTATACTGTATCTCATAGAGAATATGACTTGGCACTAACTCAGCCCTTCCCATGGGACATATGCTTCTTTGTAAGCTTCTGTTTTTTCACTTTTATAAAAAGAAAAATTATATTTCTTAAGTTTGGGGACTAATGATTTGATTAGAGAGAGATTATTGAAAACAAGGGTGCTGATATAAATATTTAACGTTTTTTTAAAGGGAAGCAGAGGGGATTTTGCAACTTGTAACCTTTGATCAATTATTTTTTCAAACACCAAACAGCATAATTGATTTCAATGGAGGGGGCCATCCATTAGAATTAGCCATTCAGTGAGGAAGATTAGGGCAAAATTATTCAACTAAGATAAAAGTGGACAAAAAGAAAAAGGAGAGTCCCGTAGCAAATTTTTCTTTAGTGGCAGGACAGGGATAGGGTGCCCTTATCATTAAAAAAATAAAATAAAATTTTAATGATTCATGCAAATAACCAATACAAACACAAAAAGTTTGGAGGGGGTTAAAATGCTACTGTACAGATGTTGCAAAATACATGAATAATTGACACGAAATAGATGTGAGGTTGAGGGGAATAAGGTGGCCCAAAAAACGCGTTTAATGCCATATTCTGCGCTGGGAAAATGACCTTATATTGAGGTCTTTATTTTCTTGTGAGATTGAGAGTGCCCCTTTGAAGATTTGGTTGTCCAAAACACAATAAAATAACCCCGTAGCAAAATTTTAATAAAATCCCTCGTCCACCAAAATTTTCTTTAATTTATATTATTATAATAATAACTAAACACAATTAGGCCCATTACCCCTAATTAATTATTTCCAAAAAAAGCTTGATTAGATCAACAGCTGAATAATAGTAAAATAAAAAAAAAAAAAAAAGAAACTCAACAAAAACCACCACTCTCTCAAACCCCCTCATTTCCTCTCTTTTCCTTTTTTTTCTTTCCTCTTTCTCTACCGCTCTTAAAAATATGAGATGACTCTCTTCTGCAAACGGCGTAACGGACTTTTCTCAAAAAAGCTCCGTTACTTCAAAACCACCAGTTAACTCTCACTGTCACGTGCGTTTTCGAATTAAGAAAAAAAAAAAAAAGGAAAAAGCGTTTATCGACTCTTCCCTTTGATTTTTAAATTTTTATGGCCTCGGAGCAGTTAAGCTCGGCTGCAACTCCAGAACCTGTTGAAGGCCTGACAGATGCCGTTAACGGCGTTGAATCCCGTCCGGCGTCTGGTGATGGCGGCGATGACGTCAGCAAAGCTCCGAGGCTTCCTCGATGGACGAGGCAGGAAATTCTCGTACTCATACAAGGGAAAAGAGTGGCGGAGAATCGAGTTAGGCGTGGACGGGCTGCGGGCCTTGCTTTCGGGTCGGGCCAAGTAGAGCCCAAGTGGGCCTCGGTTTCTTCTTACTGTAAGAGGCACGGTGTGAACCGGGGACCGGTACAGTGCCGGAAAAGGTGGAGTAATTTGGCGGGTGATTTTAAGAAAATCAAGGAATGGGAAAATAACATAAGGGAAGAAACTGAGTCATTTTGGGTTATGAGGAACGATTTAAGGAGGGAGAGGAAGTTGCCGGGGTTCTTCGATAAGGAAGTTTACGATATTCTCGATGGTGGCGCCACCGGAGTCCCTTCTTCGACCACGGCTCCCGCTTTGGCTTTGGCTTTAACTCCAACTCCCGTTGCGCAGGACGTGACGGAGGATGTCGAGGCTGTTTTTGATAGTGGACGGAGCGCGGCAGCAGAAGATGGCCTGTTTTCGGATTTTGAACAGGATGACGGTGCTGGGAGCCCAGGAAAGGCGGAGCCGGCGGTGGCGGGCGATGCTGGAAAGGCGTATCCAGCTCCTATCCCTATTTCGGGTAATATTGGAATAGTGTAAAGAGTTGTGAAAATAATTTTTTTGTTTGGTCGACGGGGAGTTGTGAGATTTGTTAATTAGCAAGTAACATTTGAATGATTGGTGTAAAATCTTTCAATTCTGTTTGCTTTTGATCTAATACTATGATAATTTGATTGGGATTTTAAATTCTAATGGGTCGTTTTGATTTTTTTTTAAGGGAAAAAGAAAAAAGGTTTGTTTTAATGGAGGTCACTGGGCACTGTTGGCAACTCTTACTATTATTATTATTATTATTATAGTGGGTTGGTTGGGACATTTTCCTTTGGATCTTTCACAAAATAAAAAAAAGAGGAAAAGATTATGATTGGTGGATTAATGCTGATATATGTTTTGTTTGCTCACTGTTTATGCTCACAGAGAAGCAGTACCATCCACAGCCTGCTATTCCAGGGAATCAGAGTCAAGGTAATATTGATTTACCTACCTCGGTGTGCTGTGCTGTTTTCAAGCTTTGTCTTTGTTTTTAGTAAGACATTTTTAACATCAGGAATTGTTCATGTAATGTTTGTTTCTGACATTTTATAATTAAGACATTTTGTGGCATTAACTGATTCTTGTAAACGAAGGAAGAAAAATTATAGGAAATGATCAGTCACTTTAATGAATCCTTGACTAATTACTAGTAACTTTTAAGTCCATAACTAATCACTTTAATTTTTTTATTTATTTTACAACTTTGTTAAAGCTAGAGATTTTCTGAATCTTATGTGGCAGGAGTATATCTTCTTGTGGCTTAATTGCTCAGTCGATAATTGCCATGTTTGAGATTCTCCCGTGTCTTAGTCAAACATGCCCTAGTTCGTTTCTTGAAACAACACCTTCAATCAAACACTGGCATCATTTATGCTAAAAGATATAGGGCTAGTTTTGCATTTCTGTTGCGGTTGAAAAAATTTTAAATTAGGAAATATGCCTTTAAAAAGTGTGGTTAGAAATTTTAAGTGTTTGATTTTGTTATAAAAAAGTGTTTTGAGTGATTAAAAGTTTAAAATATATGCATAAAATAATAAAATATTACAAATATAGGGATAATACAGTAATTTTCTATTCCAAACGCATTTCTTCATTGCAAAAGCAGTTGTTATGAGCCTTTTCGTTTGGATTTGCACAACAAGTTTTTAAATTGAAAAGCCATATATTTTGCACTTTATCATTGAAGTTGGGTCAAAAACAGTTTTTGATTGCAATAGTTACTTTTACTGGCAATGCTAAACTAGGTCTTAGACTAGGTTTAGACAAAAATTATTAATATTATTGAAAAATACTGCAGCAAAACAGAATTATACATGATGACTCAATTCAATCAGTGTAACTTTTCATTTTAATTGTCTCTAGACAAGAAGGGGCTAAGGCATGCTGTGTAAGTAGTGGCAACAACAATAGAATAGCTTATTGCTGGATGACAATGCATACCCTGTTCAAATAATCAGTTGGCATGCAGGTACAACAAAGGAGAAACATCCAACCTCGAATCCTGAGATAGGTTCTGCCTCTCAAGAAGCCAGGAAGAGGAAAAGGATGGCGACCGATGGAGACGAAGAAATAAGCAATCTTCAGTACCACTTGATTGACGTCTTAGAAAGGAATGGTAAAATGCTGGTTGCTCAACTTGAAGCTCAAAACACCAACTTCCAACAGGATAGGGAGCTTCGGAAAGACCATGCTGATAACTTAGTTGCTGTTCTTAACAAGCTTGCAGACGCTCTTGGGAGAATAGCTGATAAGTTATAGCTGGGAGGTGTTCATAATACGTTGTACATAAACAAGTACTACTCTGCAGGTTCGAATTCAATAGATGGTAGCTGAAGTTGAAGAATTTGCGGATCAAATCTTGATCATTCATTTCTCACAGGAGTCAGGAAGATACTTTCATATGCATTTTTCCCCTACATATTCAGATTTACCTTTTGTCATACACCAATAAATAAGTTTAGAATTTTAAGATCGATACAACATTTCTACTTTTCTGTAATAACGCATCTCGTTCTCCCTGTGAGATCATATGAAAAATTTTCCCTCGTAACATTTTGGATCATTTGGCTTATATATTGTGTATGCTATTGATTTACAGAGCAACATCAATTAGTCATTATTTTCTCTGCTTCTTATTTAAACATTTCTACTCTTTGAGGCCTTTTTCTTTTTCCCGAGATTTTATCATAAGTTCTCTCCGTTACAGGCCACTGACTTGCATCAATAATGGGAAGAGGGCCGAACAGATGCGAAATAAAAAGAGATTTAAGAACAAAGATATAATTCATTTAACAGTTGGCATGCTTACACATTTAACTCTACATCTTTCGCAAACCTGTTGAAAAACACAAAACTCAGCAGAAAGTTAGAACTTAACCACTTCAAGACATTTTAAGCAAATCATTGACGGTTAAGACGAGTTATTTTCAACATTTATATATCCAGCAGTAATAGCTGCGACCGCCTTTATGGATAACAGCAGTAATATCTGCTGCACATGTTTCTGGTTCATCATCTTCTGTTGTACCATCTTCATTATGCTGGGTTGTGGCTGCTGCAATCGCAATGCCCACAGGGAGACTTGTTGGTTGCAATGACTTCTTACATTCATCATCTTCCTTCTCCTTATCCTTACCCACACTTCTTCCTAGTTGAACAATGCTCGATTACTCTTTGGGATAAAAGTCACTGATTTTGGAAGATCACGTGGTGCATCCTCCAGTTCTGACAATGGTTCTGTTGATTTTGAATTTGGAACAAGCTTATACAAGCTTGAGCATTGGATTCTTCATCAACTTCACTTGAGGAATCAAAGCTGTAGCGTGTATACCTAGAAGGATTTCTTATATAATCTAGAATCGCAAGGGCATTATCCACCATCTTAATCGCGAGATTTCATGGGCAAGGCGCCTGTTCAATAATCCTCAAAACTTGTCGGCTCTTCCAAATCAGATGGTAAAGGACAGGTTTCCAACAACCCAAAAATAGGTTTCTTCTTTTACCATAGCTAACATGACCCAATCACATCATAATCGAATATTGTTTACACCTTTTGTGAACATTATTGATTAGCAGTTTCTCAATCTGTAAGAGTTTATAACAAATACATATTGATTAACGTTATATCCAATGCAATATGATGTTGCAATTGTTGGTCTCTAACATAATTTAGCTTAAATTAAAATTGACCTATACGCAAGTAAGAGTTCAATCCTGTTAGATCCAAGGTCCACGGATGTGTTATCATCGTCACGAACTTTTCGTTGTTGCCCATTGGTCTCCGAAAGGACATTTGCATAGAAGAGGAGAGAAAACTGCTCCTTACCTCCACAAACTGAAGTTACGAAATCTAATGGGCCAACCTCATATATATAGAGGTGAGAGTAAAGATCTTCCCTAACATGTTAGTCAAAATTGACTTATCTCATTATGGGTTCAGATACAAAATTAAATTGGGATCATATTTAACTAAAATCATACTACATGTTTGAGTATATTACAATATGGTATTATTACAATTATTTGCAATTTTGACATTAATTGACCTAAGTTCGAATTAATTGACTATGTTAGTCCACAATATGGGATAAATGCAACAATCTCCCACTTTGACAACAAAAGTCAATTCTAAATATTTTAAAATATAGTATAAATACGTATATTTATGTATTTAAAAAACTAGATCTAAACTAACAGAATGATCATAACTAAAATTGTTACATATGTATAAATACTTGAATTATCATATAGTAGAATGAGTATTTATAAGCCCCATAATACATTGTACTAATATGATACAAATATGTGGACTTACATGCTCTTTACAGCCTGAAAGTATTTTTATGTCCTCAAAACGTACTATATCAACAGGAACATGTACATTGACTTATGAATACTTCACTAGCAATAATAGGAACAACAAGCATTTATAAGCCCTCAGAATGCACCATATCTACAGGTTATGTGTGCATATACCAATAAACACTTCAAAAACAATAGTATGATAATGTGAAATGGAAATGATATGAAAACAAAATCTATATTTTTTTACATTCAGTCCTTGCATCTAAACCAAATGATGCGTTGCTTCAAAAGAAGCATATGAGAGTAATCTTGAATGCGTCATTCAATTGAATGCATATTCAACAGAATGTGCGTAAACAGAATATATATAGCATATAGGAATCCATCCATCACAGTTACAATTGATTTGATTACATAAAGCTCCCACTAACTCAATGCAACAGAAAGCTCCTCAAGCCCTAAATAAGTGTTTGTTGTTAGAACATTTCTACAACCAAAATTAGTTAATGTTTACACCAAAATATGTTCTATAGATTATGCACTTTTCAGTTTACTTCATTATTGGATTTCATTTCTTTTCTCTTTCTAGTTAACTAAATGATGATATCCATTTATTCAAAGTGTGAGAAACTCCTAATATCTGAAAAAAAAAAAAAAGCCACTACTATATATTTACCATAAAACATTTTTAGTGAGTTCGAAATAGGAAATAAAAACTCAACCCTAAAATGAGATTATGCAATCAACAATTTGACATGTAGCTTCACATTATGCTACATTTTTTGCCTCAATTATCAAGGATGCTATAAGTGTTCATGTTCATTTTCCTAGAAGTAGCTCCTGTAGGCAATATTTATCGAATTGGCTTTATACAACATACAAAAATAGGATCAAATATCTGACTAAATCCAAAAAGTTTGATCCAACTAAATTTAGAATGTTGGATCTCTAAAGTTTGAACACACAGTTGCACAAGTCTTTCCAAAGTAGACTTACAACATACACAACATCAGAATGTGTACTAACTTGAGCACAACATTAAGCTACCCACAATTGAGGTATACTAAATGTTCAAGATGAGCTTTTTCACTATCGACATGAGGACTTTGAGATTTAACAGTATGTCATCTTTCTTAATAGGTGTATTACTAGGAAAACTACATTACAAGTCAAATCTACTTAGTACATATTGGTTGTAGGTTTTGAAACCAATTAAATATGCCTTTAAATTTGTCATGAAAAACTTCCCTTAAACTAAAATGGGACCTTACTTAGATTCTTTACCCAAAGTGACATGATAGCATGTTTAAGTTTCAAACAAGTCAGTGTCTAAGGCTGCTTATATGATATCATCAATTTAGAGCACTTAAAATACACTAATCCTACTAATATTTAAACACATACATTGATCACAAATAGTTTCCTTACAGTGACAATCTTTTTAACTTTAATTATCAGAAATTGGATACCTTTTAAGTTTTCAAAAAGACTTATTGAGTCTATAAACTGAATGTTCCGTCATAAAATACCACATAATCTTGAGGTTACTCCATTTAGACATCTAGTCTTAATGTCTAACTAATGTAGCTCCTAACCAAATAGCCATCAATGCCGTAAAAGTTTTAAAAGAATCAATGGTAGAAACAAAATAGAATGATTCTTTACACCAATTTTTTTTTTTCTGTTTAAAGCCCTAAATCACTGAATAGGCTTTAAACCTTTCTACCTAGAATACGAAGTACCTTTTAGCCTTTTAAGTTTATCAACAATCGATTGGACTATAATAATGTAGTCATTCACCTTGATCCTACACACAATTATACAACAAACATGCAATCTCATACTATTTGACAAACATCCAAATCAAAGAGTTACGATCTCCAAAAGCCTTCTAAAATGCAACGGAATCAAAAAACACATGAACACCACATTCGTATTCCTTTGTAGGTTTAGGTATAGTTCTAGAAACGAGATTGTTGGTATCTACTATCGGTTCAATTGCTTATGGCATTTTCTATCAATAGTTGAATTGCACATGAGACTAGCACAATCATTTAGTTCATCCTTAAGAATGAATTTATGAAGTTCAAAACCGAATACTCCCATTATCTAAGTCATCCTTTAGGTAGATTATATAGTTAGACCTTATGGTTATAGTATTGTAAGATTGATTATTAAATTTAAAATCATTGAAGCCAATGTAATAGTCAATAGAATGCAACTGATAGTTTTCCTATCAAGTTTTCTTGATTATGGGTTGTAGGCCTATAAATATATATTACAACACAAACTCAAAAAGTGATTGAAAAATTGGCTTGTTGTTTGACCAAAATTTTTGACAATTTTTAGAAGTCGATTTGCTTGGATCTTTACTTAGATTGAAAGTTGTAGTCTCAATGGTTTCATTCCACATAAAGTCTAAAAATGTGGAATGCCATAACATATACCGCACTATATATAGTAGTGTGCAAATTGCCTTTTACTATAACCTTATTCATTTTTTATATTCCACGCACAACATACTAGGCATCAATACGATAATCTTCCAACATACTCGATAGAATCGTTTAGGATTCCTTCTAGTTTTATCATACCAACCACAACATTCATCACCTATGTTTGATCTCATTGCCTTAATTTTGTATTTTTGAAAACTTGGCAATAAATTTTGAAAAACTTTAAGGCTTCTTCATTGTCAAACTTCTGACTCCACATGATTGAAACTTGAATGGTCTTTAGTGAGGGTGATGAGGCACTTATATCCACTGAAAAGCAATAAGTGAATGTGATCTACAATGGTTGATATAATTCAATTCTTAAGTTAGTTCTTAAACTTCTATGCATTTACAAATCATGATCGTATTTAATAGTAAGATTACTCTTAATGAAATCTATACATGTACTAAATTCAAAATGTCTATAACATTTATGCCACAACATGATAGACTTCATAATTTATTTTACCAAGATTAGAACCAACCACCACATTATTTACTATATGCATAATAGAAGAAGATTGTGCATGTTTACAACTAGCATCGGTATCCTACCATGAAAAGAAAAAGGCATCGTATCTATATTGGATTCAAATGCAAAATGCTAGTATAATGCTTTACTTCATTTTTAAATCCAAAAAAAATTTACAGATTGCTTTTTTCTGCTTAATTTATAACAAAAATGGCATAAATTTCTAAATTCCTCTAATTTTAGATTTCTGAGATGCTCATAGAATCGAAATGGGAAGTGGGCTTCATAGAATTCTTTTTTTTAAATAACCTTCAATGAGACCTTTATCAATATTTTGTTCATCAGTAGTGCTATGCCATATCAT